AACTGAGTTACAGCAATATGTCCTCAGAACTGAAAATATTTTAAAGTTGTATGAATGTGGATCAAGCACTTTTGATGAGGTTAAGGTTGATCAAGTCAAGTGAAAGTTTATTTATATAGCGCTTTTTACAACAGGTGTTGTCACAAAGCAGCTTTACAGAAAAATCTGGGACCAAGCCCCCATGAGTAAGCCAGTGGAAACAGTGGCAAGGAAAAAATCCCTAAGAACAAAAGAAAGAAACCTTGAGAGGACTCAAAGGGGGAACCCATCCTCCTCTGGTCGACACCGGATAGCAAAACAATAACATAAGAGCAATATGAACAGAGAATAAGGTTTTACCATTAATATAAAATATTAAAAATATAGAGAAAAGAGAGGGAAAAAACAAAAATAGGTATTTAGATTAAACAGTGATAACTGATGACCACTGTAGGAGACCTTTCAGAGTAACAATGAAATTGTGAAAATCAGTCAGTTTTACCAGTGTAACAGTAACTACTGTTAGAAGTCTATCACAGAGACCCGTGAACATCAGTGAGCACTGTTAGAAGTCTGTAATGATTTTAGATGAAGCAGTGTCTATGGTTTCCTCCATTAGAATTCATTAGATTGATTATAATTTTTCAGTATCTTTCATTTACCCTGTTCGTTGGCATTCTGTAAGGGCTTCATGGGCTTATGATGGTGTAATTCTTAAGTAGCATCTTATAGTAGCACCTGTGGGGTGTAACTATATTTTTTGGTTTGATACAATTTTCAATTCTGAGGTCAAGATTCGATTCGATTTTCAATCGTAATATCTTCCCTAAAAATTTCGAGCCCTTCAGAAAAAATTCCAGTAATTTGACTGTGGGTGCATGAATAGCATAAGTCTTGCCCACCTCCCTATCACCTTTGTTTGATAGAATTCCTAGTTTTGAACAGTGACAGTGGTTTCTATGAAAGATGACCAATGAGAGACAGATTGAAAGAGACTGAATGGCGAAAAAGTGAAACAGTTCTAAATTTGAATCATTGGTTTCAGATGTTTTTTTTTTTTTCAATTTTCAATACTGACTTTAAATTGTTACACCCTTAATAGTACCTGGTATCCTGTGTACATGAAACCCATGAGTTTGACCTCAACCCTTCACCATCTGTCACTTTCTCACATTATCTATAGTGTGGTTTTCACAAGAGGTTCCCTCCTTGTAAACAATAGTCCTTCAAGTTTTTGTCATAAATTATGTCAACAAATGTCATGTCATTTACTGGCCTGTTGATTTTATTTTAGTTTAGTTTAAGATCCCCAGGTGTTGTTTGCAGTGACTGTATATCATTTATAGGAAAGGCATGTACTCTCACATTAGCGTGAATAAACAAATGCACAGATGGCTGCATGAACTGGTTAGATGTTCTTGTTTCCTGCTATGCTCATTGTGCTGCTTTCAGTCCAGTACAGTCCAGACAGAAGGTTTAAAATGCTGAAACCCCTAGGTTACCACTTGACTCCCACATATTCACGTAGTTAGTGAATTTCTGAAGAGAACACTTGGCTTGACCACTATCTCTGAGGATATTGACTTTCTGTAGTGCTAAAACTATATGCAGCCGTAAGGCTTATTAGAGTTACATTTAATTACACTTATTATTTTTTTCACATAACCTTTTGTGAGACATGCCATTACTTTGTTAGATCAATTTTTTGTGAAGAAGCTCCATGTCCAAACTATCAGTTTAACATAATATCACTTTTTTTCTATAGGAATTCTCCAGACAGAGCTGGTTTCCATCCACTTATTTTTATGTGTATTTTGACATATTGAATAAAAAATGTCAACAATTAAATAAAATGGTTAAATCTGTAGAAAAGTTTGTAAACTCGCTTGCGATGGATATATATATATATATATATATATATATATATATATATTGCGAATAAAAAAATTGTCCATATTTCTCGGAAGTCTTTTAATGAATGTGAAATAGAGTTGTATTTTCTTGTACAGAGATCTTGGACTCTCTGATGTATCTAAAGTCTAATTTGCAACATTATAATTATTTGCTGAGATTTTTATTGGTCAGCTAGAAGGAAACCTGGCTAATGTGAGTGACAGTGTGAGTGTTACCCCTTAAAAGTCTCTGCTCTGTTTTGTTTCTATGTCTAATCTAATCTCTCTCTTCCTTTCTCTCTCTCTCTCTCTCTCTCTCTTTCTCTTGCTTTTTCTGTCTCTCACCTCTCTTCTTTTCATCTGCACTTTTAAGTAGAAAAATATTTTGATATACTACATGAAGAAGTGCAACATGGATACCAACTCTTCCCTCTTCACAGCTGAAAGAACAACATTCTCTGTGGAGTGGATATTTTGTGTTTCTGTTTGATTAATTACATAGAAGTGTTGTAAGCACACTTCAGGAAACAAGACATCTATCTAAAAGCAGGAAGTTGTTACAATGTTTATACTGCCTGTGGTCATTACTATTTAACCCTGATTTTCAACTCTGCTTTTGCTAGACTTGACCACTGACCAGGCACATCATCTACTATAATCTTATTAGTTCAGTACAGTTGCATTATTCTAGTGATTTTATTAGTACATCCCTACTACTTAATATGTCAAATATAATTTTTATCTTGAGAGTAGTTATACTTTTTTAAACCTGCCACAGGTTCTTAGTCTAATGGTCCAGATTGCAACTGTGCTTTCAGGTGCTCTCTTTTTGCCAAGTTTCATTCTGACAAACACCACGTGTGGCAATATATCAGAATACAATGTAGTGAAAATGCCTATGAGCTGTTCATTTTGTCAACGGCTTACAGAGAAAGTCCACGTTGCTTCCATACATACACACACACATACACACATTATGGCAAGTTGTTTAGTCATTTATTCTTGTTCCTTAGCATAGGTAAAACGAATCTGCTTGAACTAAGCACAAAAAGTAGAAGCTGCATTTAAACATAAGCTAAATAGCTACTACAAAGTGTACAGTAGCATTACTACTTAACTGATCGGTAAATGGGTCATGAGCAAGTGACAACATAAATCTCAACTAGCTAACTTGTTGATGATTTGAGGTCAACTGATTTATTAGTATACATATACTATCCATTTTCCTTATTGAACTAATCACCTTTTTGCTGCCTGAAAACCATTAGCTGACTAACTCACAGAGGTACGTTTGATTGCACATGGCTATGTTTGTTTCTAGACATCCACAGTAAATAGCAAAATGTCTTGCCATGCACACATTAGTTTGGAGAATGAGTGTTGCGTTCTGTGAAATGACAGCTGTATCACATATTGGCCAGAGCTGTTGTTCTTTCTCTTTCAGCTTGGAGAACACATAGTGCATTCTGTGAATTGACAAATATTGTTCCTTTTCTTTCATTAAGGCATTTCTACATGTCATACATAGCAATTTATGAAACATAGTTTGGTTTCGGTTGGCTAAAAGTGATTGTCAGGATAATTTAACAATTGACTAATTCTGGAATGAGTACTTTAACCGAGGCTTCATAAGACACTGAAGTGGAAACTCTTACAAACAAAAGAAGAGGACATGACCAAGCTGACAGTAGATAAACATGCCTAATGTACTTATCGTCCTTTCAGCTTGCCCTCAGGGTAGTTTCCCTTCTCTTTCTCTCTTGCTGTCATTGCTAAAGAATCCACTATGTTCTAATGTCCACATGCTGCTCTTGAGGAAAGGTAAGAAGAAAGAGGAGAGTGAGAGAATGTGATTTAGTAATGAAAGGCAGCACATGAGCCTGGCCAGTTTTCACTGTTAACATCTCACTGTCATGACTTCTGAGCTGACATTCACTGTGCTTTGTGAGTAATAATGTTATGGAGTTGATAATAATTGTTATTGCTTCATGTTTTTTTAAGATCTTTTGTTTTAAGAGAAGGTGGATGCAAAGTGTAAAATAAGTCTAAATGGAGTTCAGTGTAGTGCAACAATAAAACGATGAAGTTTGCATGTCAAGAAATGAAGTGGTTGAAAGTGAACAGTAAAAAAGAAACAGTGAATTTTGGATGTTTGTTGTAATTGCTTAAAGCCCCAGTCAAGATCTCATTTTCATGTTAATGTCAACCTACTCAAAATACTATATGTCATATACTGCAAACAAAAACAAGTATTCAGACACTTTTGTTGTGGTTATTTGATGTACTTACAGTGCATATATACATTTGAAATTTACACAGATGTAAATCCCACTGAACATTTATGGAGGATTTTGAAAATGCAAGTCCTGCAGAAGGGCCCTTAAAACCTTGGGGAACTGAAGATGGTTTGTCAAGATTATGTCAACAAAGCTTTAAAAGGCATTGCAAAAAGTACTTCTTACCGTAGATGTATCAGAGCTGTAAACAACAGCTTTGTAGCAAAGCACTAATATTCATTTGAGGTGTTGTCAAGCTCGTAACAATAGAAGAACCCCTTTGATGCTGTATGGAACCATTTTAAAAAAAGTTCTATATAGAACCACATGCAACACACTCTACATCAATCTGAAGAACCTTTTCACCACGCAAAGAACCATTTAAGAATGCAGATGGGTTTTTGAGTGTTCTTGGTTCTGTACAGAACCATTGTCTTTACTAAAGAACCCTTGAAGAACCATCTTTTTAGGACTGTACATTATCTTCTGTGCTTTGCTGCAAAATTGCAGCTGATGACAGTACTAAATTAACATTTCAAGGTATCCCACTGGTTTTGTGTGTTTGTGCTGATCTAATTAGGAGCTGATCAGAGGCCACAACCAAGTGCTTACATATTAGGACAGAGGCTGGACTAGAAACCTGCAACACAAAACACCATCATGATTAATGTAATAAATACCAGTAAAATACATCCAAACCTAATTAATGAAAATAATACGTTACAATCAGAACTGAACTATGACTGAAAAATAAAAAAACAAGAGCTAATTAATAGAAACTGAGGTTTCAGAAAGAATCAGTGCTCAAATTATCATCCTTGTTTGCTTATGGTTTTTTCATCTTTTTTCACAGATCATGCAAAAAAACACTTTCATTTCCATAGTAATGGAAGCCTTCTAGAAGAGCTCAAGTCAACTTGGCAATCAATGGACGATCACATACCGAGGATGCACCAGTCAAACTCGAAAAGTCGTTCTAGCGGCAGCCGCAGAAAACGGTTCCTGTCATACCCACGCTTTGTGGAGCTGATGGTTACAGCAGATGCCAAGATGGTGCGACACCACGGACGCAACCTTGAGCACTACATTCTAACAATCATGTCAGTAGTAAGTAAAAATATTTTTCAAAACTACTTTTATTGCTTTTTTCTTTTTTGTAGGATGCATCAATGCTGGCTTATTGACATGACTTGGAAAATGATAGTACATTCGGTCAGTTAATCTGTGGGGCGGAGTAAATTGTTATAGTAACTTTGTAGACACACAGCTGATACCTTGCAGTACCTATCGCTGCCTGTCACTGCCCAGCCTTTGTTAGAAGCCCAGTGGTGACAGCAGAGCAGGTAGGCATTGCTCTTGTGCTGTGTCTATCTGAGTGATGGGGGTTTTAGAGTGCCTGTAATGTCATACTGGTGTGTTTTCTGCAGTTCCAGTCTGAGGGTCTGGAACTACCCTAACCAAACAGCAGTTTTCAGTAGCGCCTAAAACTGATGTACTGATTCCCAGTGGGTGTCCTCCTTCCTGCCTCTTGTCCTCCTTTTCCCCCTCCTTTTCTTTCCTTCTCCACACCTCCCTCTCTAGGTGCGCTATTTAACAGTTACTCTGACTGTGGTTTCTCCGTATCTCGTGTACCAGGTTTTTAGTGAATGCATGCATTCAACCAGGAATTGATGAGTGACACAGTGAGATACACACACAAAAAAAATTAACTATGCCTAGAGTCACTGCCACACATTGATATGAAATGTTGGCACCAGTGTTTGTACCTTCATTAAAATCAGTAGTTACGGATTGTTGGAACACTACCTGATTCAGCCATGTGCAGTAGACTACATTTAAAAGTTCCTGAATCTTGTTATAATTACGTTTCAAAATAAGAAACTTATTTACACTGCTGTGTAATGAATGGCCTCAGGCCTTTTGAAGAGTTCATATCTGAGTGTTGACTTGTCTGCAGTCTCTAGTTAAACATGATTCAGCATTGGTTTACCTTTTCCATCTCTGTGTGCCTTTTATTTCAGGTGGCTGCTGTCTACAAAGACCCTAGTGTGGGAAACCTGATCAATATTATGATCGTCAAATTGATTGTTATTCACAATGAGCAGGTTTGTGCTATCTTATTTTTTATGAGCTCTGTATTAAGGATGGGTTTATTATTTAAATCACCTAACACCAATGTGATTATTGCATTACTCGTTTTCTCCATGGACTCTGCATCTCACAATGACATGTTTTTGTCTCAATTATTTGATTAGTGAAGACATACTCGGAGTCTGTATATGTACATTTATTACTGGTCAGTTTTCAAATTATTAATCCTCTTTGGAATAAGGCATTCAATTAAATGCTTTTTCTTCACAATTTTAGGAAGGGCCACATGTGAATTTCTATGCTGCTACAACGCTTCACAACTTCTGTGTATGGCAACAGAGTCAGAATGTTCTGGATGACAGTGATCCCTCCCATCATGACACTGCACTGCTCATCACAAGGTGCCTGTATCTGTACTTAGTTTTCAACTTTTATCTTTCACCTATGATGTTGCTGAATTAGCTTTACCAGAGTAGGTCCTGTAATGTAATTTGTGCGTGATTTGACCGGCCGATTCGTATGGGATAAAGAATCTGTGTAATTTCCTCTGATTATCCCAAATAGCCTGGATCTACACATCATTACATGAACATTCATATATTCACTCTGGAAATATTACTAAGCAGACTTGTAAAAACTACGGACATGTCCCGTTCGTACTGGACTAAAATCACGGATCTTGACATCACCACGCCAGGTAAAATTAATCCAGCTCAAATATGGCTTACAATTCGTTGAACTCGGAGCTCCACAAGTAAAAGTAGTTCTGTTCAGATTAGCCAGTCAAATCACACACAAATTACATTACCTGACCCCCTCTGGTAAAACTAATCCCACTCAAATAGGGCTAAAGAGGGTAATTTCCTCTGGAATTATTACTTAGCAGACTTGTAAAAACTGCAGACATTGCAGATTCTTACTGGATTAAAATGACAGATCTTGTTAATAATCACTCAAATTACAGCACCTCTCCTGGCAAAACTAATCCAGCTTGAATGCGGCTCTTGTTGAGTAGTTACTTATTATTTTTCAACTGTTCATAATACTGGCAATATGGTCTGGTTTTTTTATATCAAATGTGAATTAATATTCAGTTTGAGCAAGTTAATGTTTCATTGGACCTTACAGTAATACAAGGTAAATGGCTTTCAGTGGAGCTGTAACATTACATTTCAGTGAAGTCTATTTCTTCATGTTGCAAAATGCAGTTGATTGTTTTTTTTTCTGAATATTCTACTTCTTTCGCCTGTCTGTGTTTTCATACAGGGAGGATATCTGTCGAGCAAAAGACAAGTGTGACACATTAGGTAAAGGCTCTCTCCTGCTGTCTTCTGCTATCATCAGGGTCCATATTAATGAAGATTTAAAAACTGATCAGAACTCCTAATTTAAGAGGTATGATAAATATGGGCCAAAGTGTAGGAGTGATTTTATAGAGTCAGTTCCTCTTTGGAACACAGAGAATCTGACTCTAAAAGACAAGTGTGTTACTCTGAGATGTTTGAGACACTGGTCTTCAGTAGTCTCGCAGCACTTATCATCTCTCTTGGTATCATGAAACATGATAGAAGTTTGTGAAAATACGTCACTTCACTTAGGGAGTCACTTCAGTCACTTCTCTTATGGAGTTTTCTGTTGCAATAGAAAGTGGCTGAAAATTGAAGGAAGCTGGCATTTAATGCCCAGTTACTCCTGGGTCAATGCTCTCTGGTTGACCCCTTGAGCCTGTCTGTGTGTCTGTTTGTGTGTGTGTGTGTGTTGTCAGCAAAAAAGACTAATTGTGTTAAACAATGGACCAATGAATTCATCTTCTGTAAACTTAAGGTACACTTACTTTATAGCTATACCTAATAGGTTGTATTAGCCTTTATTAGCTTCGTTAATGTGGTTTTGACAAGGGGTCAGGTATTGTCTGGATATTTTTACTATACATTTATTGATTAAACATAAATACTGTTTATGCAAACATTTACAAATAAAGTTAAAACACGTTTAACTTTTTGGCTAGAACTGGATTTTGGTTCATTCACTGCAAGATAAAATGCTATCCACTGGGTTTTGAGTCATTTGCTTGGGTCTGAGCTTAAGATGCTTCAGTACATTTCAGATTGCATCATTAATAAAGACATGTAAACAATTTCCAGTGGCTGCCATACACAGTAGAATGGAACAAAATTCAGAGGCCTTTTTCCCAGGAAATTGTGGGTGAGGGGAGGGACAAAAAATTAATCTGTAGTGATTATTTGGTGTATTTCTCTTTCTTGTCTTTCTTTAATTTTTGATACCCCCCATTTCATGTTTTTTGGGGATAGGCATGGATGTGTTAGGGCTCCTGCATCAACCACATTTGGACATTAAACAATGAATCATTGAGCAGGGCAGACGGCTTGTTTTGGACAGACCTCAGTAATCAGTTCCACTATTCCCCTCAGTCAGGCATCTGTGGCCGTACATGCCTATGCTATCATGTTTTTCAGATTACATGCTTTTATACAAACAGCTTCTTTTCTCTTTATACCTTCCTCATACCATTACTTTTCAGTTCCTCTGTCAGAAAGACTTTGTCCCAGACCTTTTTTTGTATTTTTTAATTAAACTCGTCTTCAGTTGTTGATACTGTTCTTTATGTCTTGTGGTGCACTACATTAGCGAGACGTGGTCTTGTAACAAGAATGTCTGCGGACGGCCATGTGAAATTTTGGGAAATGAGAGTGGGAAAGTAGACTTACTAGGATGGGGACAAACTGAGTTTGACATTTTTAAACCAATCCAATACAGTGACGGCAGAGCTCAAAGTAGAGAAAAGCAGCTGTGCTGCACTCGTGAACATTGTCCAAAAGGCACTAAGCCGGTCATTAGTCCATGCATGTTACAGTAATCATTCTTCATGTTGATTGATGTTGCTAAACTCACAAGTGCAATCTTGCTTCTTAACAGTGTCAAAACCAGAGTATTTTGAGTAGAGTCAAGCATCAGCAATTTCCTGTTTCCACTTAAAGTGATCTGTAATCACACTTCTACTCTGTTACAGGTTTTCTATACATTATTCAAGTCAGATTTTAGTGAATTTATTGAATTTAAAGTTATGCAACTGACTGATTAATAGAGTGTTTTACAGATGTTTCATGCAATTGCATTATGGACCATGAACACATGTAACACGTAGGATGTATTATTATTATTAGGACGTTATTAGGCACTGATAAGATTACTGACGCTCAGACTTTCTAAAAAGCTGCTCCTCGCACCAGGCAAAATCAAATTACTCTGCTCCTACTTTGCACCACTCAAATACTATGTACAGCACAGTTGGTTTGGACACACCTGCTGATTTGGCTGTGTCTCTGATTTATCCTGATTTTAAGCCTCATGATTGCTTGCTTTACTGACATGTCTTTGGTCCTCAGGTTGAGAGACAACAGTAACCCAGACTGTAGATGCAAATTTAGCTCCCTTGTGTATGAAGAATGAAATGACACACAGCTAGCCAAGACACGTCTTAGCAGTCAGTTGTCCATCTTACTTTTGGCTTTACCATGGGAGATATTACTTTTTGACTGCACTTTATGTTGTTTATGTTGTGTAGAAACAGTTTCATTGCTGTGCATTTTCACGTTAAAAGAATGTTATTTCTACATGTATGCTGTCACATAATGAATCATCAACTTTTCAATCACAGGTACCTTCATTTAGGTAGTCATTTTTAGATACAGTATATACGTCCACAGTCATGGTAAGTTATCTATGAATGTGAATTTTACCAGATTGTTTTGTAAAAGCTAAAACAAGGCTCTGGTCTAATAATCATATCTGGAGTCATTGTTGTTTTGCTATGCATTTGGTTTAAATTGCATAATTATATGTAATTATATAATCACGTAGCAAATTAAAATGTAAAATGATTACGTTCAGTTTACTTTCCCTATCAACAGGTTTAAGTATGGATTTCAGAGTTTTTTCATTTTATTTCTTTTTTTTCTTTCTGCAAAACAAGACTATGCACAATGATAGATTTTCATCTAATTCAGATCATTATAAAAGTTAACAAAAATAACAAAACTAAGAAAACCAAGCTTAGAATCTGCACTTTTAGCAGAATTCCTCTGCTTGTTTCACAGAGTTACAGAGAAATAATTGAGCAAAATGTAAGAAGAGGCATTCAAGACATCATACACCATGGAAGATCTAGAAAGGTTAACAGGTGCAATAAGAACTCTGTACAGCATGATAAAAGATTCGTTATACTGACAGCTGAAATTTCACAGCTGGCTAGAGTTACCTTTATTTAATAGCCTTGTCAGTCATACACTTGTAAAATTCCTGTATGTTGGTGGCTTTGTCCGGGATTGCCTTTATCTCCTTGTAGTAGCAGTGTCTAACACCATATGGATGACAGACAGCTTCAGGTGGGGAGAATGAACATGTCAGAGTTTCTAGTATTTGAAGGGCTTTTCTCATATGATGTCATACTGATCTGTAGTCAGCTGTGCTTATAGTGGTCATCTTGGCCTAGTGCCAGATAGCAGATCCAAGAATAAGCCTCATGACACAGTGGCTTACATCAAAATGCAGTTAATGACCTGTAATGAGTTTTTCTCTGTAATGTCAGATGTGTAGGTAAGGGTCAGTTATCCTCTTGTGTTCTATAGATGTATTTAATCAAGCTCTCTGAACCTTCAAACTGAAATATAATTGAACTAAATCTGAACCAAATAGGACTAGAAGTAACATGGGTTGTTATGATTTGTCCACACTTACTGTCATGCTTTCACACTGATTCGTGATTGTACTGATCTAAACTCTGCTACTGTGTGTGTGTCTCTCTGGTGCAGGACTAGCAGAGTTGGGCACAATGTGTGATCCATACCGGAGCTGTTCCATCAGTGAAGAGAATGGACTGAGCTCCGCCTTCACCATTGCCCATGAACTGGGCCATGTGTAAGTTTCGGCCCCCAAATGGGTTCATCTTAATGAAAGTATCCCTGTTGCATTGCACAAAAGCCCTCTTATCCCCCCTTGCAGGGGCACACACAGGTGCAAAGAATATTAAAGCATGTTTAATAACAGGCCGGTCTTAATACCCTCTCTGTACTCTGTGCTCCTTTACCTTTCTGCACCCAACATGGTTTAACCCATATGGCTGTGCACGTTTTTAACCCAAGGGTAGAATGTGAACCACAAATTATTTAACCATTTGCTCAGCAGAGTTCATTTGTTTTTTAAAAAGAATCTACTTTTCTCGTGTAGCGTAAATGTACTCTTCATTCTTTTGATTTAATATGAAAGGATACGTCAGCAATGCTTTTAGATTTCTGTGCAATAAAGTTGTTTTAAGAAATTCAGGAACTGACATGTCTCACTTACAACGGCCAGTGTTTCCCTTAGAATAGACGAAAGGCAGAGTGGTAGGCTCTTGATACTCTAGGTTATGGAGTTTAAATTGTACTGTCAGCTTTATATTATTGCCCTGGGGGGGGGCACTGTGTAAAATGTAAATAAATGTAAATAAAAATAGAATGCAATGATTTGCAAATCTCATAGACCCACAGGGCCATGTCTACCATTGTGTAGCATCCCCTCTTCTTTTAACAACAGTCTGTATGTGTGTGGGAAGTGAGGAGACCAGTTGCTGGAGTTTTGAGAGAGGAATGTTGTCCCATTCTTGTCTGATGTAAGATTCTAGCTGTTCAACAGTTTGTTACTTGTCCCTGCGCTGTGCCAACATAAAATCAGCATGTAATACACTATGTAATATGAAATAATATAATATCATACAGTATAATGTGTTATAATCATGAATATTTTAAATCAACAGGCTGCATTTTGGATCATATGGCAGTGTTTAATGCAGTATTTTTTTGTAGAGCATCATAAGTAGCTTTTCTAGCATTTTGCACATTTGGGGTTTGCAACATTATGTTAGCGTTGCTGTAGCTAGCGGTCATAGCTAGTGGCGTTGTATATTAACTGCAGCTTATCCTGCATTTTAGTATTGAGCTAGAAAATTTTACCATAGAGTTGTGATTCAGTACCACATAATTAACATGTAACAATTCTGTTGTGATGACACTGGCCTCTATTTGTGTCTGTTTTCGCAGCATGCCACTATCACCACATATGTGAATGTATAGTGGGGTGCTTATGAATAAAGCTGTTGTGGACAGATGACCAACTTGTAACATATGACTCAATCACTCAAAAGCTGTTATGCATAATTCTCTGCAGTACCCCCATTCTTGGTTAGTGAATAACTCCAGTGTCAGACTGCGTGTAAGAATGGCAGAAATTCTCCTCCCCCTCAGAGTTGATAGATGGAGCAAATTCCAACAGCTGTAGTGGGCTCTGCATTGAGTCAAACACCAGTGACCCTTACTCTGTCATTTGGTGCCATTTGGGCTTGTTAAAACTGACAGTGGGTTAAAATTGGCAGTGAGTTCAAAAGTACACACAATAGAGTAAAGCACAGATAGTTCTATCAACTGTAAACTAGTGCTGTATGTGATTTATCTGCATCCTTTATTTGGACATACATATTGACATATTTGTCTTTCTTTTAATTTAATCCCACAAATATTAAACAAATTAAAGTTAGCTCAGTTGAAAACCTAATCTAAGCTCTTAATTCTGTCATTCTGCACAACAGGAGTAGTTTTCAACAGGTTGGAAATTACTGATGTGATGTAGAGTGAGAAGCAAAAATATTGAAATTAGTTATTTTTGGTATATATTCATAACATTTGCATTCCAGATCTAAAGAAGAACATGTGACTAAAGCACAGAATGTCAGGTTTTATATCTGTGCATTGTTTTTCATACAACTTAAACCATACTCTTTATTGCAGTTTGTTTTTTTGTCATTGTGTGAACTCATATGAGGACAAATGAATGACAGGTGATTCTGTTTGCTCAGAAGCACATTCCCCTAACTGTGCACATGTAAAAGAGCTGTGAAAGTACTGGGATGGTTTTGGTCATTGGAGTTTGCATTAGGAGTTTCATTTTGTTGTAAAAGGTGCAAAACTGTAGAACTGACTATGATGGTCAAATAGGCAGCTTTGAAGATTAAAGCGGATACCAATCAGAACTTTTACAGAATGAATGGGCATTCTAAAAAACAACAGTATGGAATATTTTAAAAAAGAAAGAAGATACTGGAAGTCTAAGTAATTTGCTGTCTCAGGACGAGCACAGGAGCTGATGACAAGGACATTGTCAGAGCTCTGAAGAAAAAAAAACAGAAAGACCATCCAAAGAATTAAAAGACCATTTACAGAGTGCAGGGGTGAAAGGGGCGAATTCACCATTAGCAGAAGACATGAAGAGAAGGAACACAGAAGCTACACTACAAGATGCAGACTTATCATCAGCACCGAAAACAGAAGGACCAGGCTGGAATTCATGATGAAGTGCAAAGAGGAGCCAGAAGAGTTCTGGAGCAAAGTTTTATGGACAGATGAGGTAAAGCTGAATCTTTATCAAAGTGATGAGAGAGCAAATGCAGAGAAACAATGTTGGACGGAAAACATTGTCCAGAAATGAAAGCTTGACGTTCTATGATTTAGTCTCATACCCATCTTTTGAAGAGAAACCCCATTTTTCCAATATTTTGCTAGAAATCCAGTTAAGACATCCAGTAAAGAGAACTGGATTTAAGCTCAGTAATTGGGTTTTTCAGTGCATGTGTACTCTCAATCTCATTTCTTTTGGTTTTCTCAGTCTGCGCATGTACAAAAACAGCACAGCACTGCTTGACTCACAAAGGCCCGGAGTTCCTCATCATCTGATTACCCAAGTGCATGTAAACTCGTTGAATGGACTTCTAACAAAATCTGCTTTTCTGCAGTTATTGAATTATTAAGTGCATGTTAATGCACCCAGTGTGTCACTTTGATATACCTTTAGTCTGCTAGAGAGCCCGCTGTCTACAGCATGTCAACTGGGATGTCTTGCAGCAGCTTTTGTCATTTTTTGTCATCACTGCCAGATTGCTTCCTGCCTGCATATGGCTTTCACAGAAACATTACACATCACAGAAGAAGTTGGAGTCACTTGGCACAAAATGGTTGTGCGCAACAGTTGAACTGGCAAAAGTAAATTTAAAAAGCCTCTAGAAAGAATCCGAATGATGTTTCTCTCCGTTCATTACTAGGCATTAACGACTTACTCTATGTAGAATTCTGACTGAGTAGTTTCCTATTGTCTTATAATTATGGCTGTCACATGAATTAAATAATCAATTATGATTAATAACGTTATTTTGTGTAGTTGACAATGATTAATTACATTAATCTTAATTGCTCAAATATGACCCTAAAGATCTTTATATTCTCTTCATCAGAATATATTTATTACTTTAAATTATTCATGAACATTTTTAGCATGAGAACGCTGGGTTTGCTTGAACTGAACTTGTAAATTATGTGATTTCCATAGGTTGAACAAAGTTTTCCAATTCCTTTTTGCTTTCGTGTTCGTCTAGGTCATGTATTCTTGGAAGCTTTTGAGAGGAGCTGTAGCTTTCCACCTTGCTGTTGATTTTGTTACTTTGCTTATTCATTTATCCATAGGTCTCCCATGAGTACTGTGCAGTGTTGTCCGCTGAGGGTGCTGGTTATATTGCTTTAAAAGCCATTTAAAAGCTATATTTGAGAAAGTGGGGTAATATCACAGACTTTGTGATACAGCTTGCAAGCACCTGTACTTCAGCCTGGAGCACTATGGATGGTTTAAAGAGTCAAACTAGGAAAATGTCTTAATGAAATCAATGCTGTATAGTGTTAACATGTAATAAACACAACTTTGACAGACAGTGTGTGTGTTTGACCTCACAGCTGGCATCTTAGGTATCTCAGTAAACTCAACACAGCTGGGCATAATCCATCCAGCATCACACTTGTCACGACTGTGTGTGTGTGTGTGTGTGTGTGTGTGTGTGGTATTACAGATGGACTATGTATTTGCTAAAACACTTTCCAAGCATAGAATATTAGCAATGTCATCTCATTCTCTCAAAGTGAGATTGTATTAAATTATAACTGCTAAAATAGTAATATAATTACTCTTATATTTTTTTCTGCACTGTCCTATAGGCAGTTATATTTTCTGCCAATCCTCATCTGCTTTTCATCTAAAGACTTTGTGTCTGTGTGTCTGTTTCAGCTTCAACATGCCTCATGATGACAACCCAAAATGCAGAGAAGCAGGAATGAAGCATCAGTATCATGTCATGGCACCGACCTTGAACTATGACACCAGCCCATGGTCCTGGTCAAAGTGCAGCCGAAAGTACATTACAGAGTTTTTGGAGTAGGTGCCTGCCTTTTTTTCACATTGACAGACAACAGTTTTGCCAAAAGAGAAAAAAGGAAACCAAGCAACACAATAGATTGATATGTAATTATAAGACATGATGACATTACTCATGCACTATAGCTTTAAATGTTTAACAGTCTGTTGCTTCATGATTGCTACAGATTTTTCCTTTTCCTGTCCGTGGTGCTTATAGGTGATCATGATCCTTGATCCACATTACCCTTCTCTGTTTTCCTTTTCCTCTCTTTCTCTCCCTCTATCTCTTCTATTGGACGGAATGACTCTGACATTGGACAAACAGTCATTTAGTCGCTGGCGTGCTTCGTCCTCAGTAGCGGTATCCTGGGGCAACGGTTCATTCAGGGCTTCCAAAGTGGTGCAGCAAGCAGCAAGCCCAGCTGAAGGGCTTCCCTTTAAGATGGGAAATGTCAGTTAAAATTAGATTCCTGCTGGATGCGACCCTTTGATCTGCACTCCAGCACTCTCGCCTGTGGGACCTCCACAAAAGACAGCCTTGTTGATGAGGCCTTGTTCACTGTATAGAAGGCACCGGGCTGGGGATGTAAGGTTACCCAGCCCAGGCGCCCAAGAGTGGACTTTCCAATGTAGGATCCGGCCGGTATGTTTTGGTGGAGGGAAAGAAGAGACTACTACTAAGAAACTGCCATTGAAGCTATTTTGTTACAAAAGCGAGAAAGGAAGGTCTGAACCTTGTGACTGTTCTGTAGTGTACAAGGGGTTAAGGGAGCATGTGGGTGAGTTGATTAAACTCTCGCATATGAAACTGAAAGGGAAATGTCAGCAGTGGGGTGACTGTTTTTCTGCATTGTATTTTTGGGAAAAAATGGATTTGCTTAACAATGGCAGTATTTATAAACACAAAGTATGAAGGAGGCTTTGGAGCATGCATCAGAGAGGTTGCCTGCTGGTGGGAACGATGGAAAGCAAAGTCAACTGCTTCTGTACTCACCCAGAACAACAGTGCACAGCATTGATGACCGCAGCACTTAACAAGCAGCGATGTAGTTAAGTACATCAGTGTTGTGACTGCCCATTCACCTTCAAGAACTCTCTAGTCCCTAAAACTCTACTGTCAGCAGATTATGGAGGAACACAAGCAGGCTGTCTTACATACACACAGACACACTTGAGAAGAGTAGGCCCTGTTCAGCTAAGATTTATGTGTAGAATGAATCATGACAGTTCTACGTGACAGCCAGAGAGACTGCCCCATTCTTTTATTCACTTAGTCTTTTGATCCAAACGAATACCATTCAGAACGCTCAGGGCTTTTTGCCTGTAAGTCCAATCTGCAAAAACTACTTAAACACATAGACAGAAAAATGCCTTCCTTACTTATTGCTACTTGCTAATTAACGTACACATAATAAGCACATAATCATTCTAGCAAAGCATGTAATTTTCCACTGTAATGCTTCTCTTCTGCAGCTGGGAGCAAACATGAAGAATTAAGCAAGCCACACAAACTCATCTGCAGTAATTAATGAGTTGGCTGGTCTGAAGCCTCTCTTATTTTGGACACTATTTTCAGTGTCAGCTCAATTAGCTCTATTTGCCAAACGTTAATCTCCCCCTTTTACACTGCACTACAGATTACTGAGCTCTCAAGGAAAAGCGGACACTGGGCCAAAAATATCTCATACCACATACCAACAGTTCTACTTAGATCCGCACATTAGTGAGTGAGAATGGCTAGTAGTATTGAACTGCGGAACCCAGTCAAGTTTTCATGTACTAGTTTATTTGGACAGACCTGACATTTTCAGAGTTGAATTTCTATGAAACCATCAATGACCTTTTCCTATGTGTGACATACCAAAACACATGGTTTCTACATTGAATCTCATTGTGAATACATTTTGAATTGTGCATGTATATGTCATGTAAAAAACTACAAATTAACCACAACCAATTTTTTAACCACAACCTGTTTCTTTAAACAGAAACTAAAACTAATTGGCAATTGCAAGTCATGTTGCTTAAATAAACTGACTTTCATCCCAGTGATTACCAGGTGTGGGCTTTGTGTACCTGCCAAAGGGCTTTGGCCCGTTTTGTGTTATGATAGACTTTTTGCCTCACACTGTAATAATAGAAAGTCCTATAAAAAACAACACTTTTCCACCATACTGTTTTTAACCCTCCCAGGTTTATTACATAAAAAGCCTTATTATTTAGTAACTGCAGGGACTTCAGTGCAAACTGGCTGAACTATACTTAGGTTATAGAAGTGTGCAGTAAAACTTTGGGCCCGCTGGCAGGCCCTGGCCATGTAAGGGGTCAATAAGAGACTGTTCTTTCGTATACCTGATGTGCTAATAGCAGAGTGCTGAAAGAGCCTCACTATAGGCCATTTCTGTGATTTCTGTGTCCAGAGCAGAGGCACACCTCCATCATAGCTTTGTGCACTCTCCTCTCATTGCTGAATAGATTAATTCCCTAAAGCACACATACGGCACTTACTGCTTTTTTCCTGCCGGAAAACAAAGGTGCCTCTGAGCGCTTGCAGGCCTGAAAGAGCTCCAGTGCAGTGACAGGGGATAAGCTGAGGTAATGAGAAGGCTCGGGGGATCAGCTGGGGCTGGATGAAACAGGTGTTTAGCCCCCCTTACGGCGGACAAATTGCACGAGCAGTGTCAACATGTCTCATAATTACACATCAAGCTCCTATTGTGTTGCTTGGTTTCCTTTTTCTCTGTTGGCAAAGGTAAACAAAGAAGGCAGGAGGAGAGAAGGCTCTTGCAGTGGAAGTTTACTGTATTTTATTGAATGAATCTCTAAGACATTGTAGTAAAAGACCTATTCAGTGTCTAAGACCAGCAGTTGAAAGCGGCACATTGGTGAACATGTTTTAAACAGCTGTTCTTTTGTGACCCTCCCATGTAATTCAAACCATGGGTGTGGTAGGCAAACTATATGTCGCCAGACTGTAGGTTCACTGTTTTGAAACTTCATTTTTGGCAAGTGTGTATGGGGTTCCAAATCCCTCCATTTTGTGTGTTATAAAGACTAAGGTCCAGGGGAGTGTGTCTTTTGTCACACTGAAATGTAGCATGTTATGTGTGAGATGGAGGAGCTCTGAATGAGCCAAGTCATTTTAGTGACATAAACAGGTAAAGAAACAGACCACCCACTGCTAAACTGTTACACTGAAGTGTCTGTTGTAATTGTCAGCACACAAAGTGAGCCAGCACACAAATGTGACAAGTTAGATGTGAATGAACATCTAATAAAAGAGGCACAATTATACTAGTGAGGACAATACTCACTAAAATTGAAGCTAATTGCTATGTTGAATGGGCCTCTTTTCGCTTTCCTGTGTTTTGTCTGCCAGCACTGGTTATGGGGAGTGTTTGATGGATGAACCAGTTGGCAGGACTTACGACCTTCCTGTCAAGCTCCCAGGCCAGCTTTACAATGCTAATCGGCAGTGTGAACTGATGTTTGGACCTGGCTCTAAAGTCTGCCCATTTATGGTAAGGCTAAGCTTCACTTTTGAACATGTGTAGGAATCAGTAATATGGTCAACACAGTAATACAGAAATCAAATAAATTTTTGCAGACAGATGATACCAAGTAGACTTATAGTGTGGGGTATCATCCTGACTATTGCAGGTAAAATGACTAAAACATCATCAGACTTTTACAGATTATTTAGGAAGTAGCCAGGGCTTGAGTGAAGTTCAAAACAGACTATATGGGACTCATATCAACTATCGTAGGTCTCTGCATGTGAGCATTGCTTTATCCAGAGGTTAGGTGGTCCAGTTTGATAAAGAAGGGCTCTTCTTTTTGCTTGTTGTGTTGTGATATGTGCTATCAGTATAATGATCCATTCCTGAGCCTTATAGTCCTGTAACAATGATTTGTCTCAGCTTCTCTATTAGTACTGAAGATTATTTCCAGTATTCAAATAAATATTCATGCACCCACCTAACAGTGTCCAAGTAGGCTGTTTAATTTATTAATGAATGACATGTTTAGTGAACTCCCTAACCGTGTCTTTTGTGGTAACTAGGGCTACACCGCAAATAGTATTTTCAGTGCTAAAAAATTTAAAAGGTCCACAATGACAGAGCCCCGAAAGTCTGAAAGTTGGAAGTAATAGCACCATTCGAATACATTACCCACACACAGCATCAGAGTGAATTTTTTCACACATGAATGTATTTGGAACTATGTATTCCAATAGTGAAAATTCTGACAACTTCTGCTTTTTTGTGTCTGCCATCCATGTTGCAGAAACAGTGCAAGAGACTTTGGTGCACCAGCTCTGAGGGAGATCATAAAGGGTGTCGCACACAGCACATGCCCCTGGCTGATGGAACTGAATGTGGGCATGGCATGGTGAGACTTTTCCTAATATTTAGTTCCTCTATTTTTGTCCTACAGTCAATGGTGCATTGCCTAGAAATGTCAGCACCGCTGACACGGGTAATATGAGCTTTTGTTGGTGCTTGGCCCTAAAACACATTTCATGCTAAGTGAATAAAGACTCATTTTTAGTAGTTTGCTGCATTTGGCTGTAAGCCTTGTGTAGCTTGGATAATGTCTGAGAGTTGTTTCATGTCACAAACATAACAAAGTGAAATGAGCATCTAAAGCTGGTGACCGTGTGAGATTTGCACACTACTACATAGAAAAAGACTTTTTCTTTCAGGTCACAATAGAGAAGACTGAGTAACAGTATTGTATTCTTTGGTCAACTGATGATAAATGTAACAACTAGAGACCTGGTGTAGCTAAATAGGCCTGTCTGTCTTGTACTACTTGTAACATTAGCAGTCTGAACTCACAGCGAGGCTTCTCTGTTGTCTTCCACCTTTGGGATGCTATGCTAATTAGCAGCATTTAGTGCACTGTGACTGGCACTGTGGGAGCAATTGGAGGGTTTGGAAAGAGGAGGGGGCATTGGGCCTTTGAAATGGGATGCCTTGCAGCGCTCTCAGTCAAGTCACCTTGTTCTGAACCCACGACCCCCAAGCCTCTTTAAGATGCGGGTGAGTGGGTCATTGGTCAGGGAGCTCTGGGCTGAGACTGGCTTCTACACAAAAGACCCACATAACTGATTCATGCTCAGGAGAGAGCTGAGGAAAGAAGGGGGTCCCTATTCCCTTTTTCTTATCCATTTACCCACAGGAGGCTTGCAAGGAAACTTCAAAAACACTTTGTGGGTTCTTGTTGGCCAAGTATCACAAGGCAGAGTCACAGTCTTGGTTCGCCTGGCATTACTACACTGCTTGAGTGCGGAATTGTTAACTGGGATGGTTAGTATCTTAATCCAACCAAAACAACCATGACACAGTTGTGGGATTTCAGTGTGCCTGGAAAGCCTTCTCTTGTTCTCATTAACTGCTGGACTGTCATGCACAAGGGAGTTTGCTGAGGAGAACCATTTGTTGTTTGTGCCTGATTTGTTTCTGTGAGGGCCCAAGTCTGTCTGATTAAAACCATAGGAGCATGAAGGAGTTCATCTCAGTGTTAAATGTGTCATCATTTTTCATTAGTGAAATGGGCCTCTGATTTTGTGTTGTGCTATAATTGCGTCTGTTAAAGCTTTCTGATTATTTGACAGGCTGTCCACCACATACCACAGTATAACCAGTCTACAGTCCTTGTGTAAATAAATATAAGTGTGATGGAAGAGCTGTACTTCAAACATAGTTTCTTGATTATTGGGGGGAAAAAAAAATCCCACAATGCTAAAACAACACAGGAACACAAAGGGCCTTCTTTTCTTCTGTTTTTACCCTTCATGGCACCTGCACCTTTGTTTGTGGTGCCGAGGGCTTGGTGTCATCTCCTTGCTGGGCACTTTGAAGTGGAGGGAGTTGAAAGAAAAGGGGCTCTCAGTCTCAGCTCACCTGTCCGTTTAGAGTTCTTTAATGTGGGCGAGTACTCAGGGAGGCTTGTTAAAATCTGCCTCTATTCTTTTGCTTTAGAATGGTACTAAATGTCACTTCCGAGCCTCCAAAATTAAATGGCGGTCAGTTCAGGAGTAATTTTTTTACATTCAGCAGGTACATTTTACACCACAGTACAGATTATTTACCCCATAGACCTGATAGAGGAAAGCACTGTATGCACTATATTGCTGAAGTAATATTTGTCTCCTGGATTCCTCTTTGAGAGGAACAAAAAAAAATAAGCAAAACAAGTCAAGTAGCATGTCCACACACATACAGAGGCTGGTAGAGAGCAGAGAGCTACTGTCATTGCCATTAAACTAGATGTTATTTGTTAATTGCTGTGTCTTATTAAGTAGCTTCAAAGTAAAATTGCCAAACAGTTTTCTTATAACATGTTTTTCTTTCTGTGGTGACTTGGCTGTAGCTGATCTACTGTACTAGTTAAGAGTAACCACATTTTTGTTGGTGCTCTCTCAATACTGGGGACAATTGCTTGGCTCATTTTAGTTCAAACTCTCTCTCCTCTCTCTTTCCCTCCATCACCCTCCCTCCTTCTCACTAGCTGGGCGCTGGAGTGAGTAATGTGGTCACATGACCCTGGCGGTCTGTCTGTCATCTGGTTCAGTGAGCCTTACACTAACGAGGGCATCCCATCACTTGTTGTCTATAAATACTGCCACCACTCTTCTCTTTCCTCCTGCGGCCCTTCAAAAAGCACGGCGCTGGAGAGACGCTCAGCACAGCCAGTCTGTCTACTACTATCTGTGGGGCCAGCAGGCCTACTATCCACACACTCCTTTGAAGAGCTTGCTTGGATTTCACTAGCATGAATGCTTGCTCACTTGGAGGGGGTGGAGAAAAAGCAAAGAGAAGCAAACGTATCAAACTGTGTGTCCACAGTTGCTTTAGAGAGAGCTATGTTTCCCTCATTGGTGTTTTACAAAGAAGCATTGCACAGTGAGATTTAGGCCTCGCAGGCGGTTATTAGCAGAAGACAGAAAAACACCTTACAGACTGAAACTGCCTTACAAACTGAAACAGAATTTGTATTTTTAAATCAGCTCTCAGAACATTTTGTTTTTTTAAAAAAATCTTTTTTTTCTTTGAAAGAGCAAAATGTTTTGCTTTCAAACTAAAGCCCAGTGTACTTGTTTTTGGTAATCTCAAGTTTTTAAAGCAATTATGAAGAACTGTGGGGAGTGATTTAGTGGAGATAAGATTGTAGCCTCAAATAAAAGTGGTTGTAAAAATAAAATGTTTCCTACCTTGTTGCTTTAGCTTTATTTCTAATTTCTCTTGTAGCGTATGCATCTTCCTAATAGTCCCAAGACATTTTACAAGTCGTTTTATATCAAGACACTACAAAAGAGGGCATTGTGCCTCACTCACAATTAAACTCTAGGGAACTCTCCTGCTCCCTGCAACCTGCCCTCGTCTCACACAATTAGAGCGAGATAGTGAAGTCTTCCAAAAGTCTGGTGGAATAGAATTTGCTGGCGGCAGCTGTGCAACTTGGCTGCCGTTGCTGGCAGCTTTTGCAGAGCGCTAGGTCGGTTCTCTGTTCTCTATCTCAATGCTCTGTGCTGTGGATCGATGTCACCTTGCTTGCTAATCTGCCTGCCTTTCTACTGAGACACCCAATAACAGGCCCAAGGATTTGATTTAACAAATGAATTGTTATTTTGGTTGCCATGTTCCTACGCATGCCAGGACCATCTAGTGAGGGGGACTTAAGCGCTCTCTGAGGTTGGGGGCTAGATTAGATTTTCACAAGATTAGACATTCTCCAAGCATTTGAGGCTAGTCTCATGAAGGAAATATAAAAGTCAGTGTGGCATTTTATTTGGGTTTGATGAAGTGTAGACAGGATTCATTGAATCACAGCAGTTTTTAATTGATCACAAGAGGAGTCAGCAGATTTAAGGAACTGCGGATCAGTTAATCTGTCTTGGGGCTTATGCTTAGATAAATGGCCTTTGTCAGTGTTAAAAAAAACATTTCAGCCCTCTGAAAAAAATTACAAAGGACCCATCTTCCTAAGCATGGGACTAGCTGACATCTGTGTTTATATGTATGCATGTGATCCTTAGTTCTCTCAGGATGATGTAGCACCTCTGTACAGGTTCGTGCTGCTGTGCTGGTTGTTTAGGGGCATAGACTGTCATTAGAAGCTAAAATGACTGCTTTGGACACATCAGCTGTTTCATTCACCTACACTACACTACACACAAACACACACACAGTCTCTCTTTTGCCAGTCTTTTGCTTTACTTTAAACTTGAGACCATGTTTCTTTAGGGCTCTGTGAAATCCTTTATATTTTTCCCCAAATTCTGTTTTATTTTTCTTATATTTATGTTTTTAATTCAAGTATGTAAAAACTACAACACAAAATAGTAGAGAATTGGCTCTTTACATTGTATTGAACTTGCTAAATAACATATTCGGCAGCAGTCAGCAGAGCTCATAAATGGTATTTATAATTTAATGAATATGTTTATAATTCTCACATTCACTCAGATTTAGCAGGCGAAAGATTCTCCACAATGGGGCACTATTTTTTGTGTGCGTCTCTAAAAGAGAGGAAACGCACACCAGAAGGATCTCATTAATGCAGGAGTTTTCAGTCACTTTCAGTGTAAAGTCCTTTTTACACCGAGCTCGATTTTTTGTGTGATTTATTTAAACAACAGTAAGTTAATTCGAGCGTGTGTATAACTGATGATAACTTGCACACCAAACATGATGTTTCAGATGGCAAAATGCAGCGTTATTTTATTCGCCCTCTGTTAGATTTTTTGGCTGATGACAGCAATCTGACAGCTGTACTTTACACTACTGGCACTTTTTCAAAAAAGTATACAGATACACTATTTGAAGCTGCCTCTGCAGTACAACTGTTCACTGATACACTACATGGCCAAAAGTATGTGAACAACCCTTCTGATTAGTGAGTTTAGCTATTTCAGCTACATTCATTGCTAAAATTTAAGGCATAAAATCAAGCACACAGCCATGCAATCTCCATACACTAACAGTGGTAGTAGGATAGATTGTACTACTTAGCTCAGTGACTTGAAACATGGCGTCCTAGGATGCCAGCCTTCCAATGAGTCAGTACATCAACTGGTTAATTGTTAGTGCTGTTATTGTAAAGAGGAGACATCTATGAGCAGCAACAGCTCAGCTTGAAAGCAGTAGGCTGCACAAGCTCACAGGACGAGACCACTGAGTGCTGAAGTGCAAAGCGTTGGCTGGACTGGTATAAAACATACCACCAGTGGACACATTCATGCCGGAGAACGCAACCTGTCCAAATACATACTTGTATTTTAGTTAGGTGGAGGAGGAATAATAGGCTGGGGCTGTTTCATGGTTTTGGCGGGGCGCCCCTAAGGAAAAATTTTATGCTACAGCATACAGTCACATAATATGGAA